AATTAAATTTTTTGGTGTTATTTGTAGAGAATTATTTTTTTTCATCAAACAGGCATATATACCACAATATGAGCTCCTTGGGCTCCACACCAAAGCAATTTGTAAAGTGAATCTATGACTTTTCAATATAATCAATTAAGAAAGACAGGTCATGATAACACTTTGAATACCTATATTCAAGTCTTCATTTTCAAGAGACATCCTTTTTTTACTTTATGAAGTTGTTCTATCTCAAGGAAGATTTTGAAATTTGAGGACTGGCTTTTATCTGTTCTAAACCTCTAACATTCCATTGTATCTTAATGAAATGGAGGTTCTGTTCTTTTTACCCAGGACTTGTGATAAGTAGTTGCAGACTGTGTAAAGTTCTGAATAACTTTCAGTAAGGTAGCATTACTAAACATTTTAGTATCATTTTTGTGCAGTATTATTCTGCTCTGTAAGATAATGTACTATCAATACTTTGTGAGATAAATTTGGCCAGAGAATGGATAAAATTTATAGTTGTCTTCAAACTGCTCCCTTTTGAAAAGGTGTGGGTCACTGATCAGGCAGCTGTCTGCCAATAGATAATCTTGATGAATAAGAGGCAGCTAACAGAAAAAGGTGGCTTATGTTTAAATAACTTAGAAAGCACTGACTACATTGTATCCTAAAGTTAGGGAGTAAAAAAAAAAAAAAAACCAAAAAACAATGTATTTGTTTACGTGGAGAGAGTGGCATCTTCTACCTGAGGAAGAGTCCTCATCACTCCAGATTGAAAATTTACTCTTTTGAGAGGGTGGTGACTGTTGGTATGATTGTTTAATTTGTATAACCTGTTACTTGAAGTAAAGCGAGAAAGAAGCATATGATTTAGCCTCTCTTTGCAGTGAAGGGAGGAAATACACTGCAAATTACTGAACCAAACTAGAGGTTTGTAATGAAAGCCCTTTTGTGACTGACAAGAACTCAGCAGTGCACTGTGACTGCCTGATGTTTGCCACATCCAGGCTTGGGCCACCAAGTGGCTGGGGTTAGCAAATTCCACTACCTGAAAGTGACAGAGGGCGACAGGAAGCTGGAGTTGGGGCCTGCCTAGGAAGAAGCAGTCGAAGGTACTGGGAAGACACCAAGCTCATGGTCTCTTCGCTCTGCCCTCTTCTGTCTCCTCTTCCCCCACTCCCCTCTCCTCTCCTGTCGCCCCTGCCCATCTCCTTTCTTTCTCCTTGAAGAGTGAAGCTGAAGGAAGGGAAGGAAGGAAAAGAGGGGCAAAAAAAGGGGAAAGTCTGGGTGAAATGTTCTATCCAAAGACGTAACCATATCCCACGCCATCTAACCTCTAATGATTTAAACATTCTGCAGATTAAGACATTGATCCATCCATTTTTCTCTCTTACCTCTGAGCATTACATTATTCTCTCTAATTCATTGGCCTTGTTTGCAATTTACACCACCAATGTAACCCTCAGGACACTTTTGGAAGGTGACACCTACCACTCCCGTAGAACACTAGTTAAAAGGCTCAAAAGGGTGCCTCCCGCTGCCACACAGTTCTGCCCCTGCCTTAAAGTAGAAAACTTAGGTAAGGCAGACCATGCAGCTGCCTCAGTTGTTCCAGCCAAAAAATGGGGTGAATAATTTTATTTCATAGATGCTTGGTGATTGTTAGATTAAAAGAAAAAAACAATATCAGCTGGTGAAAAAACATTGCCTCCCGTCTTTAAGTGCTAAGGTTAAATAATTATTCTGGAAACAATGCCATAAAATAAATTTGGATATTTAACAATAATCTACATTTTTTTGAGTAGGCTTAAAATTTCTCTATTCCCAGTGAAAATCCTGTTCAAAGTTTATAAATTCTTGAGAATAAAGAAACTTTCAGTAAAATTGTCACTTACACAAAAATGTAAAAATGTATGAAACCTCTCGTGAGTGAATCATGAGAACATTTAAAAGGATTCATGAGTTTGGATATGCAGAGCACGTACCCCTTGTGAGTGTGGGTCCCAACCTTTTAGAACCTTTGTACCTTCTGTAGGCTGGTGAACAGTGCAAACATATAAATAGATAGACATTCAAAGTGCAAGCATGTTTAAAAGTTTAAAACTCCATATAAGTTCTTTTTACAAAAGAGTCCACCCTTTTATGTACCTTTAAAAACATTTAGCCACTTTATTCTTTTGTGTCTTTGAAGAGAAAAAAAATTAATAAAGTTGTAGAATCCTTTGAATTTAGAAAATGTTGGCAATGTTGGAAAGAAAGACATTCAGCATTTCAAAGTTCTGGTGGGGAAGGGAAAAAAAGATTCTGAATAAAACAATTTTATGTGATTTTGCAGGTGGTTTGAGCTATCATTTTATATGTACGTTTGTACCACTGCTCATTGGAATGTTCATATAATACTGACCTAATTATGCATAGAAAAAGATAAGCCATTTACTTGATTCATTTCTTCTTTTTAAATCAAGAAAGGAACAAAAAGGCTCCTATTTTCTGAAAGAAATTGTTCGCTTTTATT